CCCCAAAACCCCAAAACCCCAAAACCCCAAGCATTAGAATAATCCAAATAATAGGAGAAGAGGAAAATAAATTTAAAGAGCATCTTTACCATAATATTTAGACTCTGCATGATATTTGCTTAGCCTTAATCAACTACCATTATGAGAATTTAAAAGTTAAGAGTAAGCTGAATAGGCTATATAGTATGGTTGTGGCCTCTCAAATGTAAACAGCTTATTACTAAAGTTAGTTTTAAGATGAGAGACTAAGGAGACCTCTCTCATCAACAACAGCAACTGAGATTTCATTGTAAGCTGAAAGAGCAACACCCTTCTGGCCTTCAATCTTATACCATTTTTAAGTAATAGTCTGCCATTTAGCGATTTGATATTGTTTGACATTAGACTCATAAAGAAGTCCCCAAAGTGCACCATCGACACCAGCACTTATACTAACCATTTTCTCTGATCCGTAGTTAGCATCAATTGTATTATCCCAATTGATAAGTATCAACTGATTTTAGAGCAAAGTTAAACCAATATATTTGCTGTTTAAGGCCTTGAATTAAGCATTAGAGTTGGGATCTTCTTGATATGGAGTTGCAAGGGTATCAACTGGAATGTTTGAAACTCCATCATGGATAGCGATGATTTTTCCATCAGCGTATATTTCAAAGTCTTTGAAGCCGCAAGCTTGTCTTTATCGTTTTTCATTTAGGACACAATTTTTTGTGTCTAAGAAGTACATTCTTCCCAAGAGATTAAATCTCACAGCTTTAGCTTGGAAATCTTTATCGTATATTTGCCATGTATTTGATATAGCATTGTACAAGTAAACATAGTATTTAGGATCATTTAATTCTTATTCAAGTTTTTGAATAGCGTATACATCTCCATCAGGGGAAGTTTAAACATCAATAAAAGCATTGACTACTTCCCATTTGAGTTCCTGAGTTTTTTTCCAGTTGAATTTGTTTGTTGCTTCCTATCTCCATTTAAGTTATGCTCTTTAATTATCTATTAGCGAGTTGACTGGTGCAGCATTAGCTATGACGGCTAATAGAGAAACTGTAAGTAAAAGTTTTTTCATTTAAATTTTAAATTCATATGAAAATTTATTCTTATCAAAAACTTTATTAATTTGAATTAATTCTTAAAAATACATAACTAATTTTATAATAAAACCTATTTTTCACTACGATTTATATGCCCCTCTATATTTTAATCTAAAATTCTTAGATTCCTTAAGTTGGAATTCTCCTTTGATGCTTGAAAGATGATTTTACCTTATATAAACTTAGTCTATAAATACAAAAACTTCTCAATTCAGCAATGTTTATTTATTAATAAATTTCTCTAAAAGTAAGTTCATTCCTGCAAAATGCTATTTTAAATAACTTTTGAATTAATTTATAACCTTGATAATTACTGAATCTTCAGCTAGTGGGGTTTTGGGGTTTTGGGGTTTTGGGG